CCCTCGGTGTCGCTCCCGCACCTCGCTCAGCCAGTGAGCGGGAACCGGTCTGTATGTGGGATCCGAACCCTCGGGCGGGAGCGCCGCCGCGCTTCCCAAGCAGCGCACTTATCCAGTGCGCCACCGGGCCAGCCCTCTTAAATGTTTTAATATTGTTTACAACCTTAGCAAGATTTGACTGTAAAATCGCAAGTCTAAATTAATGACTCACCTCTATATTTTAAATCACAACGACAAGGTTGTCATGATATTCTAAGAGGCCATATTCTCTTGAACATCAGAAATATATTAAATCCCAAATGTGAAAAGATTATTTAATATAAAAATATTAATACTATGAACTTGAATTTTTTAAGGATGATTGAAGTAATTCTGTATGTTCCTGAGACTAAATGAAGCCACCCATGGTATTAGTGAGGATATTTTGTATCTCCTGTCACAAATATGCTCAAAATATGTAATAGATCAGCCACAATGGGAGCATTTTTTCTTGCTTACGTGATGATACAAGGCAAGTGTTCCTGACTGGCAGTAGCTTCCCACCCTGTGGAGACTCAGGGACCTCGCCTCCTTCTTCCTGAGACCTCACGTTCCCTCCAACCTCTTTGCCACCTGCCTGCACCTGCAGAAGGGAAGAGCAATTGGGACCATCAGGAAGGTTTATGATGGAAACTGGGAGTAGGATCCAGCCAATGTGCTCACATTCCACAGGGAAAAACTTAGTCACCTGTGAATATTTACTTCCCTGAAATGAGCCTCCTGAACTGGGCGGGAGCCGCCTTTCCTGCACCTGCACAACTCGACACTGCACGGCCTCCCCCAAGACCTGCAGGCCCCCCGCCCCACCTTCTTGCTTCACTTCTGTGCTGGACAAGGTCCTGATGCCTGATTTTTAGACCATGAAATAAGCTCACTGGTCCAGGGGCCAGGGCCGTTCCAGAGCTCAGGAGTGTGGAGAGAATGAAGGATCCCAGATGGGAAGGAGGGCTGCGGGTCCAGGAGATTAGCTGCCCCCCTTTGTGTCTTTCAGACCTCACCGAGAACAGGACCGTCTGGGATGGAGGAGGATGCAGTACTGAAGACGAGTGCCTGCGGCAGACGCGGACATGGGACGGAGGTGAGGCGGCACCCTGGAGAGCTGGGGGCCATTCTTGTAGGAAGACAAGAGCAACCCCAGCCAGGTAGCAGCACAGCAGACTTCACAGTCCGAGGCTGCTTAGGCCGGGGGCCACGCAAGGTGTGTTCAGGGTGAAAGGGAGCTAGCCAGGGACAGTGCAAGGGAGTTGAGCTCAGCTCAGTTCAGAACAGCCTAGAAGGGAGGGCAAGAGGGAAGAAGCGACGCTGCAGACGACCGAGTCCAGGTCACTTCTGACATGGGATTGTGACGGCAACATTTTCTATACCTGCTTTCAGGAGCAAACTCAATCTCAGTAACCTCTTCTGATGATGGGACCTCTGTGAAAACGGACAGTAGTGAAAACACTGTGGGATGGTCAAGTACAAAGCTCACTGCTGCCACAACAGAAATGCAAAGCTTGGCAATGTCAGCAAATTATGGTAACAGCACCAACAATGAGACAACTGCTACACAGTCCAGCACATCTTCAGCAACCACCAGTGACACTGCCTCCCCTGGGCCAACAACTATAGAGATGAGCACATCCTCAGTGATACTAGGTGACGTGGCCTCCACTGGGACAACAGCTGCAGAGGTGAGCACATCTTCACTAACCCTTAGTGACTCTGCCACCTCTGGAACAACAACTGCAGACACCAGAACATCCTCATTAACCCCCAGTGACACTGCCACCCCTGCGACAACAACTGCAGAGTCCAGCACATCTTCAGCCACTCCCAGTGACACTGCTATTCCAGGGATAACAACTACAGATGTGAGCACATCTTCAGAAACTCACAATGACACTGCCTTCCTTGGGACAACAACTACAGATTCCAGCACATCTTCAGCCACTCCCAGTGACACTCGTACTCCTGGAATAACAAAGACATATGGGAGCACATATTCAGTAACCCCCAGAGACACTGACACCCCGGGAACAAGGGAGGCCAACACGGCTTCAGTGACCCCCAGTGTCACTGCCATCCCTGTGACAACAACTACAGATGTCAGCACATTTTCAGTGTCCAGTGACAATCCCATGCCAGGGACAACAACTACAGAGGCCAGCACAACTTTAGTAATCCCCAGAAAAACTACAGACTCCAGTACATCTTTTGCCATTCCAAGTGACACTCTCACTCCTGGGACTAAAACTACAGATGTAACTGCATCTTCAGTAACCCACACGGCCACTGCCACCACTGGGAAATCAACTATAGAGGGCAGGACCTCTTCAGGCATGTCCAGTGACACTCCAAGGCCAGGTATGACAACTACAAAGGCCACCACAACTTCAGTGACTCCTGGCGAAACCTCGGCCCCTGAAACAACAACTGCAGAGGGCAGCACAAAAGCACTAACTACTACGGTCACTGCCATCCCTGGGACAACAACTCCAGACACCACCACATCTTCAGTGCCTGC